TGACCGACTCATAATTATGTAATTATTTAAGTCTAAAAAGATGGCTAAAATGTTGACCCAATTTATATTCAATGGCTAGTGTGGTACTACGCAAGTATACGTATCATTTCAAGTAATATAGAGTTTTCTTTAAAAACTCTTGTATCGAAACCACAAGGAATACAAAATTTACTATGCTAACTTAGAAATATTTCTATTTAAACTGTAAACTAAATTTGCAGGAGAATAATATTGAGTTGTTTGTAAAAGGTTGTAACTAAAGTGGCTACTTCTAATTTAAAGTAAAAGTAATTGCAAAGTCCCCAAATTAAAAATGTGTAAGGAAATATGATTATAATAAAATGTCTTTCCCCTTGCAAAGATATTATAAATCAATACATGAATCAAATGATTAAAGATGAAAATGAGGTATTATGATAAATTGAAGCATACCTATTATTTACCCCATTCCGAGCATAAAGAACATTAATTAATCTAAAGTTAGTTCCAGCTTGTGTGGTTATGCTGAGTAGATTATAGCTTCTCATTTCTAGATTGTCCACTATGCCTTCTATATAAGACTAACTAGGGACCCTTAGTTTCAACTTTAGACCAAATTAGTAAAGGATTTAGCCTATCACCCTAGAAACACCAATTTTACACCCATCAAAACTTATCTCCCTATTTATTTGCACTTGCCCCCTGGATTTAACATCCTCTTTTTCCAAGGTTCAGTGTGGTACTCAATAGTTCGTGAAATCATAGCCCTTCCGGGTCATTATGTTTCGCAACGAATTTTAACATAATGAATGGTCAATTTACAAAGTAAATGAAGAACCAGTGAAAATACCATCACAAATTTTTTGAATAAAAAAAATCTTTAAAACATTCTAATCTCACACATCATACTTCTTATCGTAAGAAGAAAGAAAAAAAACAACTCAGATACAAACCAAATTTACAAGGCAAATCTTAAATAAAAGTACAAATATATATCTCAAACTTTTGCCTAAGCAATCCTCTAAAATTTTTTGACAGAATTTGGCTCCATAAGAATCACACAAGACTCTACAATCACTAAACTCTCACTATAGTGGTCGCCCACCCCTATATTAGCCTAAACTACTAAAAAAATAAACCTTTTTTGCTTTTTTCCTCCCTTGGACTTGTAGAAATGCCTTATATATAGAGAGCTCTAAAAATAACCAAAGGTCACTTAAGAAACCTTTTCAAAATTTGTCCAAATTCATTAAATCTTAGTGAAAACGTTTCTAGTGCCTAGGCTCCTGATCCCGATTTTCTATATAGATATATGTAAAATGTGATGTATGCGATTAATTTCCTTAATAGATATTCTTAATTTGCAAAAAAACCAAAAACTTGATCCAAAGCAAAAGCTAGGTAAATTTTTCACTATGAAACAAATAAGAATGCAATTATAATATTTCAATATGGGATACTACGCAAGTATACGTATTGTTATCAAGTAATATAGAACATTCTTATTAAGTCCCGAATATCGAACCCGCAGGAAAGACTAAATTTAGCTAACAAAATTTCACTTAGCAATATGTTTTTACTTAAACTAAATATTCTAAAATAGGAATGAAAGTTTGATTCTTTTTGTGATTTTTGATAATTAAAAATAAAGTAAGCAACTAATTAACTTAACTAAAATACTTACAAGATGAAAATAATATAAATAAAATATCTTTTTACTTATTATGAATAATTGATAAATATAACAATTCTGTTGTGGAAGTATGCTAAATGTGTTGTGCCAAATAGAAGCAATAATATTATTTACCCTTACTAGAATACTATAAAGAACATTGGCTATTCTATAGTTTGAATAGTCTTGAAGACCAGCTAAGCAGAGAAAATACTACCTCTAACTCTAAAGTTCCCTCTTCTCCCTCCACATGGGAGCTAACATCTCATATCAGAACCTAAAACTATAAATTAAATTGGGGGCTTTAGCCTGTCACTGTAAAGTCCTCTAATTTTACACCCTTGAAATATATATTTCCCTATTTATTTGCACTCAACCTCCTGAACTACATTCTTATTCATGAAATCAATATGTGATTCCAACCATTTATTAACTGAGACAATACCATTTCGAATTTTACATATTCTCACAACAGGTATTAAAATCTTAATTGGCCAAATCAAGAAGTAAATGAAGTGCAAGGTTTCAAATCATCACAATTCTTCCTAATACTTCACACAACTTCCTTTAAATTTTCATTCACTTATCATTTTAAGGAAAACAATAAATAAAATTACTCAAAATTCATGGAGAAAATACAATCAAACATGAGTTTAAAAGTAGAAATCGTGCACACAAACAAGAAATCTAAATTAAAACCAAGTGTATACAAAAAGATAAACACTTATCTCAAATTCCCTCCACCAAATGTCTTGAAGTTCTTTTGAATTATCTTTCTTTACTCACAATAAAAACTAAGACTCAAAATAAAATAAAATATAGGATGCCGGTGGCGTCGGCGGTGATGGATGATGGCTGTAAAATTTGATGGTTGTTGACCTCCTCTCTTGGAAAATCTATGTCTTTTTTTATAAAAATCTAAGGGTTGCATTAGCGTCTCTTAAAAAAGGTGTCTCCATTCAGTGAATCTTCTAAAAGTTGTCTCCTCAAAAGCTAATTGAATGATTTTTGGTGTTAATGGACTATTTCCCACATTTTTATCAAGGGTTGATTCAAACACCTCTTCAGAAATCCACTTAATTTAAATAATTCATCAAGTAACTACTTTTGGCCCTTAAGCGCGGGGTACCTGGCGCTTAGGCGTGGAGCCTCTGACGCTTTGACGTCAGACTTGGGCGTTTAGGCACCCCAATTCATTTTTGTTCCAAGTTTGACCATTTTTCACTTCTTTTAACATTTTCCATCCATTTGATTGTACATGCAAGAAAAACACACAAATCCTTTCATTAAAGCTCAATATCTCAAAAATAGATATAAGAATGTGCACAAAAAAAATTATATATTTTAGGTGTATCAGCGCCCAATCGTCGCGCCTAGGCGCCGACCTTCTAGAATGTCCTGGAGCCTAAGCGCTAGGTTACCTTTTGTGTATTTGGCTCCAATTAATTCATTTTTGCTCCTTTTCTCTTAAATTCCATTTCTTGCACCTGAAATAAAAAACCCACAGAATACTTTTCATTAAACTGCAATATCATTAAAAAAAGCATGAAATGTATAGATAAAAATATGTAATTTTATGGCGTGTCACATGGTTGACGATGATTATTACAGGTCCAGCCGGAAGCTTTTGAACATTACGTCGGACAATCTATACCACATCCAGAAGTGGAATCACTGGAAGGTTACACCCAGGATGGCGAAGGTGCCTCGAAAATGGCTAATTTGAGAGCGTGGTTTACATACACCATTGTTGGAAGTTGCTTGGATGACTCTTGTTTATTTTATAAAGTCTATGTTATTTATGTCACTTGTATTATTGATATTTTAGATATTGTAAGTTTTGTGTTATTTGTACTTGTTTTTTCTGCTTTTTTGATTCATTTTCATTTTTTTGTGGGTTTGTGAGGTCCATGATGAGAGGTTCGACCTTATGGGTTCTTCTGGATGGCCTAATAGTCACTGTTAGTTGGTGCCACATGTAAAATCCTGATAAAGACAACCAAGTTCCTCTTCTCTTTTCGATACCGAGTTTTTGAGGTACTTTTGGATAGTTTGTTTAGTCGCTGCTAATTGGTGTCACATGTGAAATCCTGATAAAGACAATTAAGTTCCTCTCTTCTTTTTGATGTCGATGTTTTTGAGGTACTTTTGGATGAGTTTTTTTTTTATGATATACATATGTGACAAACACGAACTTGATATTATGTGAGCTAAAGACAACCATTAACCATTTTTTTATAAGGTCTGTTGTCTTCTTGTAGCGACAGATTCATTAATTGGTATACTTTTTTCTCTGAGATCTCAATCATGTAAAAACTGTAATTAATTACTTCTTTTAGTAATTTCAACTTCTGTTATGACAAATGAATTGTCTTTTAAATCATTAAAAAAAATGAGCTCCAGGGTTTCAGGACCTCTCGACGAGTGTTCTGCCATTACGAACTACATACTTCCCTGCTACATCGCGTCAGACGCATAAATACGAGAGACAGTTTTACAGGCGCCTGCGGGGCATCACAGAGAAGTGTGACTCATTTCCTTGGGCAGACAGTCCGACAAATTCCACTACCAATAGTGATCGGGGTTGGATGATATCCTTGGAGGACGGCGTAGCTCGTGACATATGCCGTCTAGGTTTTTAAACTTTCCTTGGGCAAACAGTCCGATAAATTCTACTACCAATAGTGATCGGGGTTGGATGATATCCCTGGAGGACAGCGTAGCTCGTGACATATGCCGTCTAGGTTTTTAAATTAATATTATCATATTTTTTTATTGTAATTTTAATAATTTTTTCTTTTTTTATCAATCTTAATACTCACTATTAAGTGAGGTCAGTATCTTATTTTTATACTATAATGAAGTCATTTTTTATTTTTCAAGTATCAAATATATTGTTATGACAGTTCTGTTGCAAACAACATTACTGTAGAGGGGCAAAATGATCATTTATCCAGAAATAACTGTAAAATAGTTTTTTTCAATAACACAAACCATACAACCAACTATTTTATCTGGATCAACTACTGATCAACAACTTATCTGGATCAACTGCTTATCAACAACTTATGAATAAGCTTTAGCCGCCCGAAACAGACCTAAAGTCAAACATGAAACACTAACATAAAATAGAAATGGAGATATGGAGGCATGCTTTTGTATGTATAACTTTTTCTAATTTTTGGGCTTGTTTCACCAAGCTCAATTTTTTTAAGAGTATTTTGTCTTCCATATAGCGAAAGTGGTTCTTCCAAATGCTGTTATTCGAGTCCGGAGCCCCGTCCCCATATAATCACAGTACGTTTTCCGGTGCAAGACTTTGTTCGGGGTATGCATCCAACCTCCGGCGATGAGCCCGCCGCGTTCCCCCACCCTATTGTCCCTCCGCGACGTCTCTAACCTGGCCATGTCCTCAAAGTCTCTCCGCCTCCTCGCCTATTCCGACGCCGTTTGGTTTCGCCTTCTCCAGTACCAGACAAACCCTTCTCCTATTCGGTATCTTTACTCCCAGTTTTTGTTGGTCTTTTATGATGGTCAGTGCTTGGGATTAATAGGGAGCGATGGCCAAATTATTGCATGTCTTCTGGAGCTGGAGGAGCTAGGGAAGAGTATCTATCGAGATTCACTGCAATGCGGCAGTTTAAATTCTGTGATCCTGCCATTGTTCATTTATGGGCTATGCCTGTTCCACCGACGCAAATTTTGTTGGCTAAAAATGAGATCTGGGTCGACCAGGTGAATTGTAATGGAATTTTCTTTGTTCGTAACAACGAAAAATGACTGAATTTCTTAGGGTTTTTTTCTGACCTGAAGCTATAATGTGAATAATGGTAGGATAATGTAACGACTAAATTTTTATATTATACAAGGTTATACTTGTGTTTTTTTAAAATTTATGAGGGTAAGAGAACCACCGAGTTCCTCTATTGTTATGGAGATGCTAATATAGCTGTTACTGTTAGTTAGGGAAGTGAAGACCTGATAGCGTGTAAAGATTAACTCGTGTGAATTTGTTCCAATATCTTAGGATGCTTCCGATGCTTTTAGTCATGGAAATTGCATTTCATTGTAACTAAATGAATAATTGCGATATTAGTTACACTTGCCTTAAAAGTGCTTCTACTGTGATATAAAGAATTAGTTTTCTGCAATAATCTTGATCTTATTTGGGAAATATAAACTTTGTTAATTATGATCTTATTTGATTTTTTTGATAAAGAAGGTGGTGATAAGCTTCTGGTTGTCGTTTGGTTAATGAGATATTTAAAATATTTTTGAGGTGGCACGTCAAAGAAAGGTGTTCTAGGTTGTCTCGAATGCTATAAAGCCTTCTATCCAATGGTTTAATAATTGGATATGATGTTGCATGTCGTTTGTCTTCTATGCAATTTTGTTTGGAGTATGCATTACTTAAATGGCTTCCACTTCAACATATGTGAATTGAAAATGGATTTTTTTTTTGTAAGTACTTGCAATAATAAAGTTAAGAATGCTATCTTGTGTACTTATCATATTTCATCTATTCTTATTTAGGGACGACATGTGATTAAAGTTGAGTGTAGTTCAGATCCTCATTTTGCTAATCATCGAATGTTCAGAGCTCACAATGCAAGGATTACTTGTATGAGGTAAGTTTAATGTTGAATAAAATGGATAACTTGTTTTGGAATATATTATTCCTAGTATTTTCAATAAAATATTCATACTCTATAATTTCTTAGCTAGTCATCTCTGTCGGAAATTTTTGAAGGGAAGAAGTTGATTTGAATCACTAAACTTTGCTGTGAACTTTTCAGCTTATATGACAGTATCATGGTTATGCCTATTTATAGGCATGAAGGACTAAATTTAGAAATTTCTAAACTCTTACAATTCTTTCTAGAAAAAAAATACTTTAGGTTCTTTATGATTAAATATTCTAGAGTATTTTCACTTAGTATAAATGTATACCTAAAAATTGTCTACACTCGAGACGATTTAACTGTTCAGATCAAAAGATTAATGACGAGGTTCCCCTCAAAAGAAAAGCTACTGGCTGAAGACTGCCAGCCGACTGATGGCCATCCGATTGAAGGGTTGACAACCGAATGAAGGCAGAAGACCAAAAGGGCCACCCAGGCCAACTAGGGGCAAGCATCCACGACAACGACTGGTCAAAGGTCTAACATCCTCAAAATTTCATAAGTATCAACGTGAAGCTTCTTGACTACTTCTCCAAAGACCATCAGAGATCACCAAGGAAGAATAATCAGACAAGCCAACCGGTTGCTTTATTGCCGACTGTCCACCACTCTTAAAATCGATCGACTTCCCAGAGCGAAGGCTAACTAGTGTCTAAACAAAAAACTGATCGAAACCAGCTCAGTTGACTAACCCAAAGATCTACAAAGCAAAAGGACAAGACATGCAAAAAGATAATAAAAAAATGTAACGCCTCTATTAAAGCAGGTACAAACATGTAATTTTATATTTTGTCCCTATTTCTCCTATAAATGGGGGGACCGTAACATATATTAGGGGCTTTTTGGCTCCTCTCTAGACCCATTCTCTCAAGGGAGAACTCCTCACCTTCTCTCTTGTAACCACCACTTTTAATATATAAAATGGGTTACAAAGCCCGAGAATATCCTAGTTTGCTTCAGAGGGGTAAGTCACTTCAAACTCTTTTCTCTCCCTCTTTCTCTCTCTCTCTCTATCTCTTTCCTCACGGTTCCTACCGCTCTGTTCTTTGGGCATGCCTCACAGGACAATATGGATTCAATATTTTAAAATGTGTCGTGAGCGTGAAATATGCTACAAATAAGAATGGTAGCGACACCAATGTGGAAAATTACACTGTGGAGACACTCCTAACAAGGAGCATGCTAAAGGGTTCATGCATCAACAATTCCAGTAGCCGAAAAAACTTCTTTCTATCGTCTTCTGTGAGGCTTTGGTGTAGAGGTGAAGATCACCCCAAAATGGACGTTACTGACTCCTAACGGTTGGAACACTCTCTCAAAGACGACCGACCGACGATCTTCGAAAATGCTCGGTCGATTCCGGGCGACTGACACCTAGCTCAACAAAAGAAGGGAGGATCATTTCAAAAACTATTTTTTTGTTATGATGTAGAAGAGAGGGAAAGCGGGGCTCGATCCGTAAAAAGTCAAAGTCAAACGAGGGCCGCAGACTCTTCTGCGGTCGACGTTTAACCAAAAACGCCCCGCGATGCTCTTTCCACGCGCTCCCAAACGACTGCAATTCGCGACCGCTCCCCGCAATGCGGTGCTGACGTGTTCCTAAATGAAGCCTTAGTGTGAGTCCCTCCTCTAGCCTAATGTCATTAGTGAAGAAGAATGATGGGAATTAGCGTTTCTATGTAAAATATTAGACAATGATTGAGGAAATAGTACTTGAGAACTTTTCTATCTCGATGGTCGATGAGTTTCTGCACGAGTTGTTGGGGTTGTAGTATTCCAAAATTGACTTGAAGGATTTGTTTGTTTCTGCCTTTCAGCCCACTTTTGCAACTGAGTTCTCAAATCAAGACGTTTAATTGAGCTTTCCTAAATCGTGTTACAAACCGCGACAAGATTCTTCTTCGATTGCGACCACAACACTCTGTT